AAAATCTCTTCCCAACCAAACCTCTTCCCAGCCAAAAAACTCCTTCCCAACAAAACCTTATCCCAACAAAACCTTGTCTCAACAAAGCCTCTTCCCAACCAAACCTTGTCCCAACAAAACCTCATTCCAACAAAACCTTGTCCCAACAAAACCTCATTCCAACAAAACCTTGTCCCAACAAAGCCTCATTCCAACAAAACCTTGTCCCAACAAAGCCTCTTCCCAACCAAACCTTGTCCCAACAAAACCTCATTCCAACAAAACCTTGTCCCAACAAAGCCTCTTCCCAACCAAACCTTGTCCCAACAAAACCTCATCCCAACAAAACCCTTCCCGAACAAAACCTCTTCCCAAGCAAACCTCGTCCCAACCAAACCTCTTCTAAACCAAAACCTTTTCCCAACCAAACCTGTTCTAAACCAAAACCTCTTCCCAACAAAACGTCATCCCAATAAAACCTCCTCTAAACCAAAACCTCTTATAAACCAAAGCCTCTTCCCAACAAAACATCATCCTGACGAAACCTATTCTAAACCAAAATCTCTTCCCAGCCAAAAAACCTCTTCCCAACAAAACCTCAACCAAAAATTTCCCAACAAAACGTCATCCCAACAAAATCTCTTCCCAGCCAAACATCATCCCAACAAAACATCATCCCAACAAAATATCATCCCAAAAAAATGTTATCCCGACCAAACCTCTTTCCAACAAAATACCATCCCAAAAAAACATCATCCCAAAAAAATATAATCCCAACCAAAATCTCCTCCCAACAAAGCCTCTTCCCTGTTTCACGTGGAAAACGAAGTGCAGGGAGAAGCTCGAGTCCCCTCTGAGGCCGGGAACATTCCAGAACTCCTTGTCCCACCCCGTGGTGTCCTTGTGGGTGTCCCAAGGATCCCCAGCCCATTTCAGTGATAATGGGAATGTGGGGAGCAGTGGAAATATGGGAATAATGGGAATGTGGGAGCAACGGGAATCTGAGAATAATGGGAATCTGGGGAACAGTGGGAACCCAGGGAATAAGGGGAATATGGGAATAACGGGAATCTGGGCATGGCGGGAATCCGCAAACAGTGGGAATCTTGGCTTAACGGGAATCTGGGGAACAGGAATCCGGGGAAGAGTGGGAATCTGGGGAATAAAGGGAATCTGGGAATAACGGGAATCTGACAATAATGGGAATATGGGAATAATGGGAATATAGGAATAATGGGAATATGGGAATAATGGGAATCTGGAGAATAGTGGGAATCTGGAGAACAGTGGGAATCTGGGGAATAAAGGGAATCTGGGAACAACGGGAATCTGGGGAATAAAGGGAATCTGGGAATAATGGGAATCTGTGAATAACGGGAATCTGGGGAATGGCAGATCAGGAGCTTTGCAGGGACCCCTGGAACTCATCCAGGGAGGGATGTGCTGAGTTTGAGCTCCTCACACACAATCCCA